ACAATTTACAATAGCTAAGATTTGGAATCAGCCTAAGTGCCCATCAGCAGATGAATGGATTAAAAAACTTTGGCACATCTACACAATGGAATACTATGCTGCTGTAAAAAGGAAAGAACTCCTACCATTTGCAACAGCATGGATGGAGCTGGAGAGCATTATGCTAAGTGAAATAAGTCAGTCAGAGAAAGATAAATATCACATGCTCTCACTCGTTTGTGGATTATAATTAACAATGTAAACCAATGAACAAAAACAGATGTAGAGACAGAGAAGCATTGATCAGATGTTCAAAACTCAGAGGGAAAGCAGGGAAGGGTGGGGTGAGGGGGAAAGATCAACCAAAGGACTTGTATGCATGCATATAAGCATAAGTGATGGATATGGACAACAGGGCGTGAGGGTGAGGGAAGAATTGGGGGGATGAGGGGACATTGGGGGGATAAGGACACATTTGTAATATCTTATTCAATAAAGGGGGAAAAAAGTGTTAGGGGATGAAGTTTGTCCCATTTCCAGTTTTACCTGGTTTTTATTTGCCTAATTATTTTTGACATGTATTTTATAAGCTTAAAATTTAATATATCAATTCTTTAACTTCTCTGTCTTATTTTATTCATAATGAGAACTCACATATCCAGAAAAGTACTGACAGTGAGACATTTACGACCACCAAACTTCATAAAGTCCAGCCTAAGTGAAGAGATGAAAATGTAAATGTAAATATAGAAAGAACAGAAAGAAAATATTGCTCAGGTCTATTTTCCTTTTCCAGTAGAATTTATCCAAGGCCGCATGTCCATACACCCTCAAGCTATCTGCTTGTTTTATTCAACTACCACCTAGGACATGCTTCAGACTAACTGATTCCTGATCTTGGATTTGCATCTATACCGATTCCTTGCTGTTCCGGACATGATTAACCTTGGCTCCCTGCTTCCTGAATTTGCCATATCACTCCGTTTATCTATTCTCTATAGTCTCAGCTCTGCTATCCTATTATGGTCACTGTATTAACCCTCAACCTATATTTATTTATTCTCATTTTTATCTGCCTTGATATTGCCTCCTGTTTCTGCACATGATCCCACTGACTCATGCCCTCACCAACTTCCTGCTATGCTGGACATTGGATCCATCATTCTGTCCACAAGATGCATAAGTTTCCCTGTTACTGACAATAATGTCTACATTCTAGTCTCCATGATTTTTCTTACCAGTCTAGATTGATCCAGGGTGAGAAACAGTGTTGTTACATGGAAGCCAATGGGGAAAAGTAATTTTTCTAGGATTGAGGCCTGCGTCATAACTTATCTAGGTCACTTTCTCTCATATACCGCAAATCTAACTCTGTATCTCCACTATCCATTAACCACATGCCTATACTAGTATTTAGCCAAATTCTGAAATCTTAACAAGAAACAGCACATATTCGTGTTACCAGAACAATGAGTGTGTACAAAATGACCTGCTAAGTCAATGACAAACTTCCTTTTGTGGGGAACTAGAAAAAAACAGTTTTCCCAAGGGTAAAATATATTTTTTGGACAAGATTTTTTGTGCCAGCGAAGATATAATTTTACTGGATCTTCTCTACTTAAGCTTCAACTTTAGCATCAGCAGAGAAATAAAGAGTGGTTTACATTGTTTCTTTTCCAAAAAAACTGTTAGGAAAGCCAAGAGTATTATATTAATTTATTCAAATTCTACTTTTATAAAATATACATGCAAATTCTCTGTAGTTACTTCTAAACCAATGAGGTTGTGAACAGTATCACTAGAGTTACCGTGAGAGACTATTTACTTACTTTTAGTGTTTCATTGAATTCTGGATTGATGCCAGTTCTGATTTTAGTCTTGCGCTTATTATTTCTAGACTTGTCAGGAAGAAGGTATGACTTGACATAACTGTAAATGATAAAAGATGAAAGTAATTATTGGGAAAAATCTACTTTGCAAAAAAAATACTCATAGACTTCAGTGAATAAAAGAAGTAAAGAGAATTGGCCAGTAATTATAAGAGTCAGCCTGGCCTCTGTGGCTCAGTGGTTGAGTGTTGACCCATGAACCAGGAGTATGTGGTTCAACCCCTGGTTAGGGTATATGCCCTGAATTCAGGCTTAATCTAAAGTAGGGGGCATGCAGGAGGCAGCCAATCAATGATTCTCTCTCATCATTGATGTTTCTATCTCTTTCTCCCTCTCCCTTCCTCTCTATGAAATCAATAAAAATATAGAAAATAAACATAAGAGACAGAACCAAAGAGAATATAGTCCACATAACAGATTATCTTAAAGACAACTCTGGGCCTTCAATAAAAGAGAAGTGGTAAAGAGTGTGGGCTCTGGAGTCATGCCAGTTGGGTTTAAATCACTCCCTGCCTCATTAGTTTTGGTGAACTCAAGATTGTACTAATGCTCTCTGTGCCTCAGTTTTCTCATCTGTAAAACTGGGACAATAACGATATCTAATTTATGATATTGTTATTTGTGAGGATTAAGTCAGTTGATACATTTAAGGACCTGACATATTATATAACTCAAGAAGAAATATAATCTATTATTATGATTAGTGGTCTCACAAAATAATATGGGGCTATATTCCTCTCTATTCATATGTCAGAAGTTCTGATGAGTGGACTCAATGGTAATGGGTGAATAAAGAAAAATGGTGAAAAGGAAGAAATAAAAAAATAACAACCTAGGTCAGAATAGCAATTCACCCAACAACTTGTGTTGGACTATCTCAGCAACCTCCTGAAGCAGGGGCATCATGACAGACTCAGAAATGTATGAGATGTACAACATTCTACCAGAGTTCTGAAGCACATGTACTGGGGCTTTAGATGACCCCTTTCCATGTTAGTCTAAATGATTATATTTGTCCTGAAGCCTTCTGATATTGAACTGAGGAAGTAGGTGGACAATTTGTACTCAGTTTCCATTGATTTGTCTATCTTAAAATATTTGGAAATAGCTTGGCTGCATTGTTTATTGAACCTAGGTCACCTAATATATTAAAAAGGGGGTCACATAGCTGGCCTGAGAGTGTGCTATCCTTAGAAATGCCTGCTTATAAGGTTGGTGCTTGGCTGGAATCTGGGAACTTGGATTTCAGAAAGATTCTTATCAGTCCCAGAACAGATATAGTTTTGTTACTGTGACTAAGCTATAAAAACAATGACTGATGCTGAGCATCTGCTTTTATTCTGGGAAACTGGCAATTTTGGTATGTGACCAGTTGAGTCCCTAAATGGGCTACCCTGTCGGACAACATTGCCCAATGTCACAACCTGTTGCTAGAGGAATTAAATGTATCCTGTGTAGTCACTGGAAGAGAACACTTATAAGCTTAAGCCTGGTTTCTTCAGAACTGCATCACATATACCTCTTTTCTTTGCTGATTATAACTACATATGGAGTACTGTGGGTCCTCCTAGTGAATCATCAAACGCAGCAGTGGTCTTTGCAATACCTGATACATTTTTATATCCAGCTCCCCTCCAAAGTGCCGTGGTCCACACCTACCCTTGAAGACTAATTCCTGGAATCCCATGAGCTTCAAAATTGCCCCTTTGATTTGTTCAACTGGGATAACAGCTTGGTAATTTTCTCTGAAGTATGCCCCAGAGCAAAAATTAACTCTCATACATCCTGGGGTATGCCAATGTGTCAGCCTTCTATCTCAAAGAGCTGCCTCTGCCTAAACAATAAATATGTCAGTCCTAAATCATGTTGAGTAATAGCATCTTAACAATCAGGTAACTATAGACAAAAGCATTACAGATGAACTTTGGAGAATATTTAGAAGTGTGACGTAGGAGGAAAGTGACAATCAACCTTCAGAAGAAAGCTAAGAATCTCCTGAAAAGTGACATCAGAGGAATGGCGGCATGATAGTGCACCTTGTCTTCTCCTCCTGAAATTTCAACAAGTTAACCAACTATAATTCAACAAACAAATCCCTGCTCAACACTGACACATGCCTGAGAAATCTGGGCATTGAAACATTTAAAGGTGGGTAACCTGGAATAAGTGGGGAGAGGAAAAGGGAGGAAAGCACAGATAGCCCACAGATGCAGCCCTGCAGCCAGAAGCTTGTGACCTGGCTGGGAATAGGAGAAATCTGGCAGCAGCAGGCACTTCCTTCAACTAGGAGGAACAGAGAGCTGCAGGGAGCAGCCCAGTACAGTGAGCAGTGAGGAAACAAACAGTGTCTGAGTCAGTAGACTTCTGACAGAACATGAGGTTCTGCCATGCAGTTTCCAATGTTGAGCTGGTTGCTGGTGTTTCAGACAAAGGAATGGAACCACAGAGCCCTGCTGTCATTTGGACTCCCAAAACTTGCCTCCCATTGACCTTGGAGTCAGGTCCAGGAGCATATTATCTGTAAACCAAGAGCTGTTGCAGTAGAACTGCTGTTTCCCTCTGTGATGGATCCCCATTGCAGTGAGGGCAAAACAAAGCCCACCCCCAATCAGAGTGGCTGTACTGCTTCACAGAAGCTGTGGAGGTCAAGACTGGAAGATCACAGAGATAAAATCTTGTGATTCAGTGCCATCTACTGGAAAATAGCAGAAAGACCTCTTCAAAGAAAGCTGCTATACAGAAGGTCATTAATATAGACAGATATTCATGCCTAGAAAAGGAGAATAGCAAATACTATGAATAACCACAGTAATGAGGATGATCAGAAAGAAAATGAAAAATCCTCAGAAAGCAAGCTGGAACACATGGAAATATGTGATATAAATGACAGAGATTTCAAGATTGAAGCTCCGAAAATACTCAACGAGATGCAAAAAAATACAGATGGGCAATTCAGTGCACTCAGAAAACAAATCAATGAACAAAACGAGTACTTTATTAAAGAGATTGAAACTTTAAAAAGAACCAATCAGGCTCAGCTGGAGTGGCTCAGTGGTTGAGCATTGACCTGTGGACTGAAGTGTCCCGGGTTAGATTCCAGTCAAGGGCACATGCCCGGGTTACAGGCTCGATCCCCAGTAGGGGGCGTGCAGGAGGCATCATTGATATTTCTATCTCTCTCCCTCTTCTTTCCTCTTCGAAATCAATAAAAATATATTAGAAAAAAAGAACCAATCAGAAATCCTGGAAATGAAGCATGCAATTAAGGAGATTAAGAGTGAACTACTGGGGGGAGAAAAAATGGTGGCTGAATAGTCAGACTATTGTGCACCTCGTCCTAGGGCCAGACTGTAAATACAACTAAATTGGACAACATTCACCTGGAATTACTAACTGAGGTCCAGCGGAGGAGGAGACTTATATCAAGGAAGGACAGAAAATACCTGGAGATTGGTAGGAAGGGTGAGGTCATGAGGGTAGCTGACCCAGCTTTCACAGGTGGCAGGCCAATGGGCCAAGAGTGAGGAGGGAGCTCCCAGCTATGGGAGGGTCAGTTCCCTCAGAGGATAGAGGCCTGGAACACAGGCTGAGATCCACAGGCTGGAGCACCAGAATCGAGACCAGCAGCTTATGTTACATCAAGCCATGAAAGGCCACAGGGTTGCTGGTTGTTGTGCAGTCTGGAGGCAGTAGACCAGAACCAGTTGGAGAGAAAGATGCAGTTTTTGTTATTGTTGTTTTGTTTTTTAAACTCAGAGCAAAGGAGTTTTTATTTGCAGATACTCACCCAAGGCTTTGGTGCAGGGAGGGAGACGGAGACTCAAGGTGCCTAAGTATGGGAAGCATTGTGGGGAGATGTGGAAAAGCAGCAGCCAGGAGTATTTGGTCATAGATCTTCAAACCAAAACAGCCATATTTCCTGAGAGGAGCTAGCTGCTTCCAGTAGCCTCAGGGAAGGAAAAAAAAAACTACCCTAGATGATTAAGCCTGTCCCACCCTCAGGATCCCTGCATTGTTTTATCTTTTTTCTTTTATTCCTTTTTGTCCCTTTTAAAATTAATCTTCTTTATCTATCTACTTTACTGATTTGTTATTATTCTAGTCTCTGGGTTTTGTTCCTATATCTAATTTTCTTTTTCCATTTTCTTACTCAATTTTTTTTCTCTTTTTTCTCTACTCATTTTTTTTCTTTTCTTTCTCTCATTTCTTATCTTGAGTTCTTTCATTCCCCATCCCCCTTTTCTTATTTTAGGACTATCTACATTCTCCTCTATTTTCCTTTGACATTTTTTCTCTTCTTTTTTGACCTTTCCTTCCTCCTTTATTTTAAACCATTTTCCTTCCCCGAATCCCCTAATACTTTATATTATTTTATTTAGTTCAGATCTGAATCTACATATTCCTTCCTCCCCACATTTTTTTTAAAAAAATACTTCTTTGCTGATTTTTTAATTTTTTAAAATTAAATCTTTATTGTTCAGATTATAACAGTTGTTCCTCTTTCCCCCCCATACCCCCCTTTCCCCAGGTTCCCCCCCCCCCCTCTGCCCTACCCCCCCCCA